CTCATCTCCTGTGGCGCAGCTCTAATGTCTCATCTCTGGCGCAGCTCTAACGTTTCCTCTCCTGTGGCGCAGCTCTAATGTCTCATCTCCTCTGGCGCAGCTCTAGCGTCTCCTGTGGCACAGGTCTGCAGGTGCTGAATTCTCTCTGTGTTTGTTCGTCTGCACAGGTTTTTGTTTCACCGTCATTTTTGAAGAATATATTGGCTAAAGAATATATTTGACTTCTTGATTGACAGTTACATTTTTTCTTTCATGACTTTAAAGCTGTCATGCCTTTGTCTTCTGGCTTGTGTAGTTTCAGACAAGAAGACTGCAGTCATTCTCATCTGTGTTACACTGTGTGGAACGTGTCTTCCTGCCCTTTATGTTTTCCCTTTATTACTGTTTTTGGACAATTTAATTATGATGTGCTTTGGTATGGCTGTGTTTTGATTCTCTGGAGTTTGTTAAGCTTCTTGTCTTTCTGGGTTTCAGTTTTGTCAACCTTGTAAACTTTTTGCCATTATTTCTTCATATTTTTTTTCTGTCCCTCCATTTCTTCTACTTCTGGGACTCCAGTTATGCATGTGTTAGACTGATACTGCTCTTCTCGGCTTTTTCAGGCTGTTCTTTTCCTTTTTGACAGATTCTGCTGCTGTGCATTCAAGGTCATTGATCTTTTCTTCTGCAGCATCTAATCTACCATTAAATGTGTTCAACCAAATTTTTATTTCAGATACTGTTTTATCACCTCCAGAAGTTTCGTTTAGTTCTCTCTTAGATCCTCCAATTTCTGTCTTATCTTGACATTTTCCTGTAGATCACTGAACATGTGGAACAATTTTAAGGTCCTTGTGTGCTACTTCCTCATCACTCACACGTTTGGGTCTTTTTCTATTTGATTATTTATTTGTCTCTAAGTTATGGGTCACTTTTTTGATTATTCAAATCATTCTTGAATGTCTTACAGTTTTTTTTTTTATTGGATGCTGGGCATTGTAAGTTTTATGTTAATGAATGCTGTATTTTTTTGTTTTCAAGAATGTTCTTTTTTCTCTGGAAGGCATTATCTGAGTATACTTTGATCCTTCCGAGGCTTGTTTCCAGGTGGCTTTAGAGTAGCCTTTATTCTGGGGTTAAGTTTGCCCTACTTCTACGGCATGGCCTTTCTGGGGGTTCTTTCCTTTCTTTTTTAAGATGGAGTCTCGCTCTGTCACCCAGGCTGGAGTGCAGGGGAGCAATCTCAGCTCACTGCAACCTCTGCCTCCCTGGTTCAAGCGATTCTCCTGCCTCAGCCTCCTGAGTAGCTGGGATTACAGGTGCATACCACCATGCCCAGCTAATTTTTGTATTTTAGTAGAGCTGGGGTTTCACCATGCCAGCCAGGCTGGTCTTGAACTCCCAACCTCAAGTGATCGGCCCGCTTCAGCCTCCCAAAGTGCTGGGATTACAGGAGTGAGCTACCATGCCTGGCCCTTTCTGGGGTTTCTATGGAATGGCCTATTGCTAAACAGGATCTCTCTACTCTGGCTCTGGAAATTGTTCAACTCCTCAATGTTCTTCTTTGCCTGGCCTTAGGGGGGTGCACCCGATGCATGCACAGCTTGTTTCCATCCACAGGCCCAAGGGGTCCCTTACACAGATTTCTGGGAGTTCCTCCTCTGCACAGTTCCCTCCGCTTCAGTTCTCTGCCCCACAAATTCCAGCTGCCCCTGCCTCCCCGACTTCAGTCTGTTTCCTTCACTCAGTGTGACCGCTGCTTGGATCCCCTTCCTTTCTCTGTGATGCCAAAACTTTCTCTAGGCCGAATCCCAGGCTGATCACAGGGCTCACCTCCCTTGGTTCTCCTCTCTCAGGGATGACAGTCTTACGTTGTCTGTTTTCTAACATTTGACATATAGTTACTTACTATATTTTGTCCAGTTCTCTGGTTGTTCACATTGGGAGGTTAATTCCAGATTCTGTTACTCTTTCTTGTCCAGTAATGGAAGTCTTGCCATGTCACAAATCCTAAAGGTTCTGTGAGACTTAGCATATGGGTTGGAGCTTTGCTCACTGAACTCCTTGGATAGCTCTGACATTTGAGAACTTTAACAAAAGACAGAACACTTTTCCATCCATTATTACCTACAAACCTGTAGAGAGATGGTCTGAGTAAGTCCCATTTGACATACAACTGAGGCTTCAAACTTCAAAAAACTCACTCAAAGTCGCCTGATTAATAAATGGAAGAGGCGGGACATGAAATCACGCCTCGTGTTCTGCAGTGCCTGCATCTGAATCCTGACTCCCCAACGCTTCTCAAACTTCTCTGTGAAATACCCAGAAAAACAGAGAAGTGAGGTCATACCCTCCCAAGGCCTCAGGCCGAGTGGCCTGCCTCTAGCACGGGCGAGTTTCTGAAATTTCACATTTTATCTCTTAGTGCCATGTGCTTTGTCCGTGCTCATCTGCATGCACATTACAATGGTTTATGTATATTATTGGGCCTCAGTAAAGCGATTACAAATCACATGATCTTTATGTTAGACATTTTAATACATCAGCAGGAGGTAACGTTTCATTAAAATCACAGCTTTTCCCTCCAACTCCTTCCTGTTTACCTGTGGGTTCACGAAGCCTAGGCTAAGCAGCTGGGTGACGTTTTGCTTCACTGTCGGTTTGACAAAGCTTTCTTGTGACAACAGGCATAAACGAGTCTACAGAGTTCACCAAGACATCTGCTTCAAAGAGAGCTGTGAAAGCACAAGCGTCAAGAAAGCCCCAAACAGGTGCCTCTGGGGAGCAGGCCAGGCTGTGCCCTGCATGTGGCTCACAGGGTGACGGGCAGGGGGGGCAGGTACTGTGGCTGCTGCAGGCCTGCGGGCTGAGCCAAGCAAGCCACTTCCCAAATAGGCAGCCCCTGGGCAGCCATGTTCTGCTACGAAACTTATGTACATATATGTGCATATGAGCGCACAGAGGGGCGCAGCCAGGCATGCTCGGTGCTCAGGGGAGGCCACGGGCTGGGTACTGGGTGGTCACCCTGGTTATGCATATTCACACAGAACGTATGCTACAATTGGGAAGCACGGGGTTATTGACAGCCCTGAGTATTTAACGGCCAGTGTAGTGCACCGCTGTTTACTTTTGATTCACTCACACCCACCCCGGTTCTTCCCCCAAAGCTTTCAAGGTAGTTAATTACTCGTGTCTGGAGTTCACTGAAAGAAGTGCCTGAGAACATTATGTCTTTCAGAATCAGAGTTGAAACCTGTCATCATCCGCACAGACCAACAGGTAGCCACAGGTAGCCACGCACTCCCAGTGTCAGGCAGGGCCGCGGCCTGCAGCTCACCAGCCGTGCTGCCCGGCCTGCGCGTGTCACCCAGCTCTTCCCCAGGGTGGCTTTGGCTTGCTTTCTCCCACGTCCGTCCTTCTCTTTCTGACTCACATCGAGCTAGGTTTCTAGTGTTCTCATTCCACAACTACGGTCTCAAGCCAGGTGGGTACACACAAACTGAAGTGCTAATCTCCACATCGGTGTCTGGACCCATGGTGTCCCTCACCCTGAAGCGTACGTGGGATAAAGGCAGGGTTTCAGCAGGCACCCTGGACTGAGGTAGCTGTAGGGTTCAAGGTGCACAGTCTCTTTGTCATTAAATGACTTTTCTCTAATTATTTCAGGAAACAAAGTAAGAGTCAGACACTGGAGAAATCTTAAGGTATGTCCCTGCTGCTCATGCACCACTACCACAGAGCTGCTGGGAAGTGGGGGTGACTGCCCAGCCCTGGGCTCTCGGGGTGCCGCGGCCTACTCAGTAAGCACCCTGGGCCCTCGGGGTGCCACGGCCTACTCAGTAAGCACCCTGGGCCCTCGGGGTGCCGCGGCC